TGGCAATGTGCAAGTGCACAATTATTTGGCTCTTCTCCATGACTCGAACTTGAACGCTTTTCAAACTTTCTGACCAAGGTTATATCTCCTTCATTTGGTAGAAGTTTCTTGAATTCTACTTGATTGCAATTTCATTCAGCAAATTCGCTCGCTTCGCTCTCAAATTTTTCATTCAACTAATTTTACAAACGGCGCGCATGTCATGTGATTTCCCACTTGTTGTTGTTTTTATCACATCGACTTCCGGTCGTTTTGTAAAATTAAAATCCAATAAAATTAAGCTATATTTCCAAGAATACAAATGCACCGAATTTAATAAAACAATTACTCCATTCGCGCTTGTTGGATATGAGATTGGTTATAGCCAACTCGGCCCTACGGGCCTCGTTGGCTATTTACCATCTCATATCCAACGCGCGCTCATGGAATAATTGTTAAGTATACCGCCCCAAAGCGTTGCATAACTATACGCCATCACGTCAGCATCCTGAAGTTAGTGACTTCAGTATTCTCGCTTTCTGTCTCCTTGTCTACATATTGATATTGAAAGGAGATTAAACCAACACTCACCAAAATCGCTCAAACAGAACCGTCTCATAACGTGTCTCTTGCTACATCTTTTATTACAAATCTGCGGAGCAGGAAGCGGAGATACTTCTCCAGATTCTGTCGAGTTATACCGGTTGATTAAGTCGTCGTTGCCTGTGTAGAACAATGGACATGTTTTTTTAAGTTGTTCTTTGAAATTCTTCTTCAGTCTTTTATATTTGACCATTCTTGTGATGTACCTCGAAGACGTAGGAAACCAAAAATAGAGCATTTGTTCACTCGTTTTTCATTCGTTTGTTTTTCATTCGTCCTTCCCTTTGTCCGTCCATTTGTTCTTTTGTCCAGTTGTCCAGTTCTCTATTTCACGTTTACTCACCAGAGACGCATTGGCGCTTCAAAGTGAGGCTCAGCGGACCCCATATTTCACTTCCGGCCACGTCAACGAAGCTGATATTAATTGTCAGCAGGACTCCTCCGATTACCTTCCCCGTGCATGGGAATTTCACTCGGAAAACTGGAGAGAGCAAGATAAAGCAGTAAGGTTATATAATAAGAATGCATGCTCTATGTCTAATCGGAAGGGAAATTTGGGCAGGAGACTATGACCCATATTGTCTACATTTCATAAGCACGGCTCCTGGTACAAGTTATTTTATCAAAGAGGAAGCGATTTCTCCTAACACTTCCTTTTATGTTTATCTGGTACCTCTTCCGGCTAAGAGCTAATTCTTGTCCCAAATTTAGTATCTTAAGACGATTGGTGATTGACGATTAGCGGCTAAGCTAGAATATTAAAAAATATGCTGGAGATTGAATCCTAGCCATAGTTGTTTAAAGCAAGCCTAGGTTTCAGTCCTAGATTATTGAATGGGCAACATACGAGTCTTCTTTTTCGGAACGTTTAGTTCCTTTAGCTTTTTGTCTTTTGCTGCTTGAGATGATTAGCACTAACCAAGGTTAAAAATTTTAAATCGTTGCAAACTTGTTTACAAAAAGAGACTAGAAATGATCCTAGATTAAATGAGAATCGTCTTTTTCTTAAATGCGCTTTTCTTAAATGCGCTCGTAATTTTTAAGCATAGTTAAAGAGAGTTCAGTCACGGCATTTTGAGTTATTTTGATACAAAATTACCTTTAAAGGAAGGAAGCCTAAAAATAGAAGTTAACTAAGATAGAAATACACTAAAGAGATAATAATAAACCATAAAGGAACAAGGATTACAAACACGAACTTGAAAACTTTAGGCAAAATGAAAATGAACAAACCGTGACGTAGCTCCTTTTACAAAGGAAAATGATTATGAGGCCCAGCAAATATCGAAGGAGCAAACATTTGACTGTTTTCGAAACCATTCTGTTCTATTCAGGTATGCTTTAAGGCTATGGATTAGAACCTAATGAGTGGCAATTCAGATTAAAGTTACGAGAAATTTCATATGATACTATATTTATAGCTGTGTAGGATGCCTGTCAAACTTTCAGTTCTTTGAATGGATTTAGTCTTTTAGAGTGTGACACACTCAAATTACGGCTATTTTTGAGCAATGGTTTCATGTGATTATGTTTAGTTTGCTCAGTGTATGGTGTGGATCTTACTTTTAAGTCTTTGGATTAAAACCCAGTGTGTAAAGTGGATGTTGTAGGCTATCGAACAATATTTTCGATGTGACACTATCTTGGTTTTCTCTAACATTGTGGTTCTTTGCGTTCGTGGATTTAAACGTAGTAATAAGTGAAAATTAAATCAAAAGCTATTGAGCATTACGTTCGTGTGGTGTTGCAAGATTAAATTTGAGCCGTTAAATTTGATATATCCTATCACCTTGTTGTTGCCGACTCTGAATGGGGCAAACCTTCTACGACTTCTTGTCTTTTACAAATAATTTCAGTTATTATAAATACTCTACGTAAATTTTCATTTTTAACTGAATCTTGGAAGAGAAGACAGATGTTAACGGTTTTAAGCCTTCATGTCTAACACCAACTTTAAGCACCGATCGAAGTAACTGTCCTGTTGTCGTTGACTGGCCAAAGTTTCAATAGATATTTTTTTTCTTTCAGTTTTTAATCCTTTTTCAAGAACTAGACCCATATTCTGGCATATTGTGACTACATTTATCGAGAATGTGATGGTCTTAGTACTTCGAACATCTAGAGTTGAAAAAAGTTTTTATTGTTTTGAAGAAATAAACTCTTGACCTTGTCATTAAGTTGGAAAAAATTTAACGTTAAAAAAATACCAAAATCTCCAGAATATTCTTTCAGTAAAACTCGTATGCTTCACAGTAAATGAACTCCAAGGTCGACTGTGTTTTGTATTGTATGTCTTTATTATATGTGCCAGTTGTTGTTGTCTCAGTCAGAGCACATTTCTGTCATAACCTGCATAGTCAGGGGTTTAACCTAGGTAAGATCGATCCCTGAGGCAACGTTTTGCTTTACAGCTGTCCAAAATTACAATCATTTACTCGCCAGCGTCGTCAATTGCACGTAACTGTGCAGTCTTTTCAGACAAGTAATCATCAAACATATGGAATAGATTTATTTTGAATACTCTTTGAACTGACTTACAACTGACGACAAACAACTTACTTCAGAAAGGTTTTTCACCCTAGGGGTGCCTACAACTTCTTGCTCTCCTCGTTTCCTTTAGACGAATTGGTTCATTACAGGCGTCTAATTGTCCCGTCTTCACAATCAGTTGATGTACAGTAATTTGTGAATGTCATAATCATTAGACGCTCAATGGCATAAACTGAATTGGAAGTCTGCATTCATGAGACAGGCAAACTCGTGTTGTGCTCTGAATGGCTGCTTTAAAGTGCCTTTCAGTCCTTGGGTACCAATTGCAGTTACTGTATCAAAGAGACGATCGTTTTCTCATGCTATACCATATGCATGTTATAAAATGAAAGCGAACATTATATCGATAAGCGAAATGAGGTTGACTGTCATCAGTGAGACAGTGACTTGCAAGGCACTTTCGAAAAAAAGGTTAACTGAGTTTTTATTTCTCATGGCGATGATGTTTAAGCCTTTCGTCGATAAATAGACTGTCTCGTCCTTCAAAGCTACTAGGAAGGGTAAAATACACCCTTAATGAAACCATGAATTTACCAGATGGTCATCGACACCTAACTTGCCCTTGCCACAGCAGTAGCCAAGAAGACAGTTGGCCGGAATTCAGAGAACAAGGGAATATTCTCTAAATGTGCTACTGAATTCTACAGAAGTAACACTAAAAACAGTGTATGACATCCAGGACATAGGATTACAACTCTTATCTTGGGAGAGAAATCCGTACCGTATGACGACACTTGCATCATTCATTGCCTTGGATTTCCCCTAGCCCGCAATCCAAGGAAAACGTGAAAATCAGTTTGTAGATGAACTGCTACAACAAGAAGTTCCTGTTTAAACCAAAACCCTCGTACAACCAAAATGCCTTGGTTTTATCTACATAAATCGATTAGCTTTTAAATACGCATACAAAATTAGTATAGGTATTCTGCAAACCCAATACTGTATTTTGCACACCTAATACTGTTCGATCTGCATGGCTCTGGTTTTCCAATTTCCTATTTTCACTCTCCCATATGAGAAGCAAGCTACAACCGGTTAATGCCCCAGTTGAAACTTTCGACGATAACGCCCATTCATTAGCACTCGATAACTACCTATTAATCATTTCTTGCCACATAATGAAAACTCATTTTATGGTGGCTAATGTTGACCTGCATCAAATAAAAATATTTTGGCGGCTCTCCCAGTAAGTAATTACTTCCACTTATCAATCAGTCACATCACTAAGCTTGAACATCTCGTTTTGATGCTCATATCTTAATGTTAATTAGCCCACACATAAGGGGACAATATGGAAGTAGCGTTCGAGGCTTTAACTGAATCGTTGGCTAGGACGACGACGTTTGCTAGTACTGCAAACTGGAGAGATATAGCTGAATATGTATTCTTATTTAACTTACTTGGAATCAGAAGGTTCTTGATTTCAAGTTATTCGATTTTGTAATTTATCCTCGTCATCATCGTGAGTACAGGGCCGGGTCGTAGCCAGAAAAACAATTATGACTAAGGCAATGCGCATGGTTAAATCCAGAAAGGAATTATAACTGAGACAAAGTCCTTGGTTAAATTCTCTTCCTAGGTATTGAAGGTGTTTATGATGACTACATCTAAACACAACACTGGGACCATGCAAAAAAGTGACTGAGGCAAGTACATCGGTTCGCCTGTTACTATCTACGGTCCTGGAGTAACCATCTCCTCTCAATATTTTCTTGTCATTTCTTGACTACAAACATTTTAATACAATCAATAAATATCAACTAATGTTTTTGAGTAATTTGTCTCCATCGATCCCAAGGTAAGTCATCGAGTTCTCAAAATCGTTACGGCTAAAAATTTATACCAGTATCTCTTTAAAAGCTATATGTAATACCTGTAGTGTTAAGCCACCCGCGTTACAGACACGATAAGAGTACAACATGACTCGACCAGACTCGAAGGCGTAAGAGGTCACGTCTACCTTACTTTTCACACGGGGATTGAAATACAACAGTAGAAAATTACAGGAAAAAAATGCACTTAAGGGTCTGCTTAGTCTTACCTTTGGTTTTTCTGGGCACCAAGCCATTTAGACGAATGTTAGCGGTAGGATGTTTCATAATGGTTTCATTGCTCGATTTGAAGTTCAAAGAATACTGCACCTGGAAGAAGAATTGAGAGTCAAGTATGCATTAACTAAAGAAAGAGCGAGTTCCCTGGGACTGAACATAGTAATTTGTAGTTGCAGCGGTCAACCCGATATAAACTGAAAGACGGTCTGATTCAACGGAAATACGAAAAAAATTCTGCTTTTCAACAAAAGGAGAAGGAACTTTGCCTTGAAATTGGAGTTAATCGTCCTTCGGGTGGTCAGTGGTGGCTTGTCAGAAAGATGCGACTGAGCTTGCTTCGAAATTTCTCTCAAGTGCCAGCATGGGTATGACGTTGGCCTTCAGCACCTAAATACCCTTGTTTTAGGTCTCTGTGCGTATCTTAAGAGTGTTTCCCACCTCACTCAGACAATGTAAAAGTCTTATAAGTTACATTTATGTTTATATCAAGGATTTTCAAGCTCCTTCAACTCACAAGCGTCGCATTGGTAATTGAATGTCAGATGAAACCAAAGATGTCCCATGTATTCATTGTTGATCTTTTCGTTAAAGTCCAAGGTTCTTTGAGTCCTTCGACTCCACAAGGGATGTTTTCTTTGTACAGTTTGCAGATTTTATCTTACATTGTGGAAACATGCCAAGGACAATTCAACGCCGTTCGCTACATGTCGAAATCACCGATCTCGTTTACCGATAATAGTTTATCTGTAATCACCTACACTCGCATTCAGTTAATTACTTTCTCATTAAAGCAGCCTGAAACTCGCATTATGGAAATTTGCTTTTTGTTCGAAGACGTGCACAGCCGCCAACTGGAAATGATAGTTTTTGTGAGATATGCCGTTTACTCAGAAGGGGTCATGCTAAAGCAGCTGAGGACCAACTGTCGGGGTTACATTTATTTTTCGAAAAGCTGAGTGGGCTCAAAGTATACGAAATATGTTAGGTTCATGTATTAGTCACAAAATAACTGGAGATGGTTATTCGTATACAAAACAGAGGTTATTGAGACAATATCTACCACTTAATTACGATCACAAGAAGTGTTTCCGTATAAAACTTGTAGCCACTGTATTTGACGCTTGAGTCTCATTCCATCTTTAAACTATTACCTTTGAAAAACAGATCGCCATATTACGTGTCCTTACAATATTACTATATAAACTAATAGGCAGGAGGGAAGAATAAAGAAAAAAAAAAACGACCAGGAGACATTGTTTTGATGTACATGCGCCTAGAAGAAAAGAATATATTGAAACATCCATGGATCCCACAACATAAAATCATTTCTCAATTCTCGCAAATTCAAGCAATACGAATATCTACTACCGAGGCTAGGAGAGAATTAGGAAAACGTACATACGAGTTAAAAGACATCTCGTCCTCGATATTCTTTCGACACACTGTAAAAATCTCTTAAATTGTTTAAAAATTGTAAGACTGGCACTACAAAAAATATTTCGCTAACACTAGCCAGTCATCAGTAGTAGTTGTACGCCAACTGGCAGAATCCAATTTAGCAGACCCTTTGATACTGGTTTTATTTTAAGTGTTCTTACCATTCCAGTAGCATTGAACTTGAACTTGAGGTCTTTAATATAAGGTTCAATGGGTGGAATCATGCTCGACAAAATAGGTGTCTTCAGTATTGGGGCCACAACTCCATCCTGAACAAGGAACAAGTTCGTGTTCAGATCTAATGAGATAAACAATATAAGAACGTTTAAGTCTTTACTGAGCTGTGCCAAACTCGTGTAATGAACCAGCATCGATTAGAACAGTGGTAAGCCCAGTGACTCGAAAAATGTTGAAAGTGTCACAGTGAAGGAATAACAGTAAAGAAGCTGGGCTTTCATAGCACGGTGTAAGGGTTTGCGATGTCTTGCTGTTTTCACAACTGACAGAAAGAAGGGCCTAATGGTGGTTACAGTTTTGAGATTTCCGAGCACTGAAGTATTCAACCACGCTTTAAGCAAGTCCCATGGCAAATTCAACTCTGATTTAAGCGGCATTAAAGTGACACGATAACAAAAAATAGAAACCTTCTATTGTGTGATGTCTTGGCGTTTTCACAACAGAAAGAATTGAAGAGCCTAATCGGGTGGGTTATAGTCTTAAGATTTCCGAGCACTGAAGTACCCAAACATGCAATAAGCAAGACACAGTAAGTTCTACAGCTATCTCTACACTGATCAACGTTAAAATAATAAGATGAAAAGACAAAAGATGCAGCCTATGGAAACCTTCATTGGCTTTGGATCGCTCGATCGCGACTACGTGATCTTAAAACCTTTTTCTTTATTGCTTACTGAAGTAGTTTGGTCCACGATTATCATTCAATCTTTTCAATGATATCAATCTATAAAATCGAAAAGTGTCACAAGTCGTAACTCTGATAGCAACAGTCTGTTGTGCATTATACATAAATCATAAACACGACCCAGTGTTAAGATCTGACGCACCTTTTCAAACCCCTCTGTTCGGTGAGAAAATCTTGTTGGATTGTTGGTGTTTGACATACTGACTGGTGTAAATGAGATCTTTTTTTTGAAAAAAAATATTTGTTTTTGTCTAAATAACACATGGACACTGAATCATTACGCAGCTGTCAAGTATTTGCATTTCGAATGTGGGCTGATACTGAAATTATCACTCAGGAATGAAAATAACCCCCATTGTTGATCATTATCGTTTCCAAGGGACAGAGTAAAATAACATTCTGCTCAATGTTTACGGATAAAGACCTCCCAAAATAACATGATATTAACCTTTCCCTTGCGTGATAGACAAAATAAGGAAGAGTCAAGTGATCTGTGGTCCAACTGACCGACCTGATCGTCACATGTGGTTGATGTTGAGACTCTGGTAGCTGACAGCAGTTTCACAGCATGCAAGGAAGAAGAAATGTTTGTGGTCTTATAGCATATTAAATCAGAGTCACTTTAAAAATTAATCAACTCTTAATAGAGTGCTATTTGGCACTGTCAGTGAAAATTACCAGTGAAGGTGGTTTTGTGAAATCAAGTGGGACTAGGTATGAGAGAAGCTTTCATAGGGAGGGATTGTCTTAACTGCTGTCTGCACCACTGCCTCGCCCAGATGTCTCCGACCGTCCCACTAAGTCTGCCTAACGATAACAACTCCGAGTCATCAAAAGGCGATAACAGACCTCATGTTGTTCTGAAGAGCTGACGATAGCAACAGATTGTTCTGAAATTGATTGCTTTTCATCTGAATCGATCAATCCAGTGGTGAAGAAAGCAGGCGATCGTGACTTCCACGACGAGCGTTCCAGAGTTCATCAATTATTTTGAAAGCCAACTAAAGCCCACAGTTAAGCAGTTGTAATATCAATCCCTCTGAGGAAGTGCTGGCACAGATACAAATACCTCGTTCATTTTGTCTCTGGAATCATTGCGTTCAATGATTAAACAACATTTTTTTCGTGAAAATGAACGCCGCGCGGTGTTCGTATACTGATATCAGAAATACGAATTATGCAAAAGAAGTCGTGTTTACTCTCACAAGTCTAGCAATATATTTACTCACCGTAGAGAAAACGCGAAACTTCTCGGGCATCTAGAAAGACGTTAAGTTTAGTAGAACACTTGCCAAGAACTGGGACAGACATCAAAAAGAGAACTTTGAGAAAGTTTCGGGCTTCGAGTCCTGCCATAGCTACTGGGAGGGGTTTACGATTATTGGACTCCTTTCGTGATGGTTGATCGAGATGTTTCAAATCAGTCTTGTCACAGGTTCGGTTTATAAAGACAACATCATTATTAATTACAGTAATTAAAATCCGTAAATGAAACGTAATGACAGATTGATTAAGCTTGTCATCTGCTTTGGCCACAAAGTAAACAGTTGTTAAATTAATGTCATTAGCAGTGAATGCAACTGACAAGATCGCAAGATTCGGCTTTCGTGTTATGCACAATGAGCGGTTAAGACCTATGACGTCTAAATTCTCACTAAGACGTCGGCATAGTGTGAATTCATTTTGGCGAAACTCGTGTCGTTGGTAGAGCCGATTCGTTTTTGATACACTTTTTGGTTAACGATGGGAAGGGAAGACGACAGATGGATGGAACAAAATGAGCAGATGAAAGGACAAACACATCTGTAAATGTTGGAAAATAAGTTTTAGAAACCTAACATGAATTCCTTTTTGGGACAACTGTCGTTAAATTTCATTCATTGGATGAGAATTTCCGGACATTCTACATTCCTGCTGATCCTGTTTTTTATTCATGCTGTTGCTCTCCAGGACGAATTTTCTAGAAAGGAGACCTTCTGAATTCACATTCGGCTTTGCTTTTTTACGTGTTCAATTATGGGTATTGTTTTTTTTTTCAGACCTTCAAATTGGATAGCTGTAACCCTTGTGTAGCTACTCACTGTTGAGTGTATTCGCAGTTAGTATAAGAGCTCTCCCAATACTGCAGTCTTAGCGAAGGAAACGCGCGAACAGCTATTGTCTGCAGGCAAGATACCGCCAATTGGTTTTCAACCGCAGTGCAATAAAGGGTACTTAACTATTTTGAGCGCTCTTTTTGAGCTCTTTTTGAAATTAAGAAAAGGCTTAATTAAAGTTGAATCCATTTGTCGACATTTGGTACAGAGGGCAGTACTAACAAAGAAAGACTGACGTCAATAGCTAGGAATCCATATATGCATGTAGCTTACAGTTGGGGGAATGAGCGTAGTACAATGCATCTACAAGAATTTCTGTTGAAAATGTCACTTAGTATAGCATGCCATATTCTGAGCATGGCCTATTCTGACTAACGTGTATCTGGCTGGGCTATGAAACAAAAGAAAGATTCTCTTTCACTGCAGAGAAGGGAAAACGCCAGTCGGAGAGTGTGTGTAGTATCCTGTGTAGAAAAACCAAGATACGTTTATTTTTAGATTAAAATCAATAGCATCGGATAAAGGCTCCAGCATGGATACATGTAGTCAAGGAAGCTCAAAGTAACGGACACGCTAGCCACATCTGTGATCTCTTTGCAGTTACAATATACTATGATTTTAATCACCTCAATTGAGAGTTCTGAAAAAAAAAAGTAAATGGGACGCCTGACTTAGCAAAAGACAGCAAACTGTAACCGAAAGCCAAGATTCGCACGTATAAGTAAAATTCAGACACATTTCGTTTGTCTTGAACGCATCTGAACTGCTCTTTTAAGCGCTAACTAATTAACGGTCTAACTGTACTAATTTTGTATACGTCACTGTATACCCAATCTTCCGGATTATTAGTAGGGAGGCCTTGTCAATATAAGCTGATAAAAATCTATTTTTTGCTCCTTTTAAGGGTTCATAAGAGAAAAGGTAATTCAGTTAAAGGTCTTGTTTGCTTATTTTTAGACGTTCCAAATGGATAGCAGGACTGGTCCTTGTGTAAATGCTCATTGTTGAGTGTACATTGTGTATTTGCAGTTAGCAGAAGCCGTCTCCCAATACCGCACGCTTAGCAAAGGAAACGCGAGAGCAGCCATTGTCCGAAGACAAGATACCGCCAAAAAGTTTTCAACTGCAGTTCAATAAAAAGTACTTACCTGTTTTGAGCGCGGAATGAAATTTAGCAAAGGCTTAATTAAAGTTAAATCCATTTGGTACAGAGGGCAATACTGACAAAGAAAGACTGACGTCAATAGCTAGGAATCCATATAGAATATAGAATATAGCTTAAGGTGGCTCAAAACAGTTTCTAGCGCTTGGATTGTGATGGGTCATTTATAACTACTACTTATCACTTGATGCTACAATTACAGTATCAAAAAACTGCCCAATCACTGTTGAATACGTTGTTATCATTTTCGTGACACAATAGGTTACCATAGCAACATTATGACCTGCTAAAAACACCCTTAATTACAGCTTTAGGGGCTTATAATTCAAAAACGGCACGGTGAAATTTTGATATATCATCAAATTTTAATAAGCATGATAAGAAACAACCTTTGGCAAAGTTTAAAAAAATTCTGTACATAGCGTTCAGAGCCCCCAGGTGGCTCTGAACCCCAGGTACAGATACTTTTAGAACTTTGCCAAAAGTTGCGTCTTATCGTGCTTATTAAAATTTGATAATATAAAAAAATTCACCGTGCGGTTTTGAATTGTAAGCCCCTAAAGTTGTAATTAAGGATATTGTTAGCAGGACATACTGTTGCTATGGTAACCTATTGTGTCACGAAAATGATAACAACGTGTTCACCAATGATTGGGCAGTTTTTTGATACCATGATTGTAGTATGAAATGATAAAGAGTGGTTATAATGACCCATCCAAATCTAAGTGTTGGAAACTGTTTTGAGCCATAGGGAATCGGCGTATCTCTGAGGCGTAGTACAACGCATCCACACGAATTATTGTTGTGTTGCTTAGTGTAGCATGCCATATTCTGAGGCCGGGGAAGGGGGTACTCCTCACAATGGCCTATAAGGGAAGGCTCCACCTGAAAGGGTTACCTCTCTCAGACTTCAGGTATATAAAAGGGTAGGGATTTCACAAGTTGAGGTTAATGAAAAGGTAGGGGAATCTGTCATTTTATTATTTTAAAAGGCCTTTAATTAAAATATTTCGAACAGACGCACCTTATGTCTGCACCAATTCATTTATTAACGCACTACATGAAAAAGCAATAAGACTTCCGATTTATTTAATAATATGGGACAGTTGTGAAAGTATGTGAAAGGGGTATTTTCTTCCAATTTAAGGTTTACGAAAGGGTTTCCTTTTCTGTCAAAATGGTATACAAAAGGGTAACGGGGCGGAGCCTACCTGTATAAAACTTTGTAGAGTACCCCCGGATTCTGAACATGGCTATTCTGACCACAATGCACCTGGCTGGGCTATGGTGCCAAAGCAAGATTCTCTTTCACTGCCTACAAGGGAAGGTGCCTGAGCGTGTGTAGTATCCGTGTATAGAAAAACCAAGATACTTTTCTTTTTAAGGTCGATGGCATCAGATATAAGCTTCGACATGGATACATATGGACGCTGGAAGTAATGGACACGCTGGCCACATTTGAGATCTCTTCACAAAATAAAAACACGATTTTAATCACCTCAATTGAGATTTCTTACAAAAAGAAAAAAAGTTCGGTTATTGAGGCACCTGACTTAAGTAAAAGATAGCAAATTGTAACCAAAGACTACGATTCGCACCTTTTAATTAATATGCAAAAAGTATAGCATGAGTGCAAATTAAGTTGTAATACGAGTTCAAATGATAACAAAGATTTCTAAACAACGGTTAGCACGATTAGACACTTGAAGGAGGTACGTCACGGTTTGCTCATCTTGAAAAGTTCAGCCTAATTTTTTCAAGTTCGTCGTTTGTAATCGTTATCAATCTTCTCCATCCATAACCATCCTTGTTCCTTTATGGTTTGTTATTATCTCTTTGGAGTTTTTGTATCTCAGTAAACAACTATTTTCAGGTTTCCTTCAATTTAAAGGTGATTTTTTTAAGTGACCAAATAACTTAAAATGCCGCGACGAAGCTCCTTAAAAGCCTGCCGGTGATCATCGAAAGTATTTTAAGAGGGAGTCAAAGTTCACCCTATGCATAAGTTAAATTATGTTTTCGTTTGTCGTCAACGCGTCGAGAATGCTCTTACTGTCTAATGCTACACGACTTTTTTATACTCGGCCTTCCGGAATGGAATAAGCGTTCTCACAATAAGCTTATAAAAAATCTCTTTATAAACATACTATAACTGATACTGTTATGATAAATCGTTATGTGATTTTCAAGCAGCTTTTGCTGGCAAACTTTAATGTTATATTTAGCGGGCGGTGAGCAGGAGGTTATGGATTAATACAAGGAATCAACTGTTCTCTCACGCATACGCCGAGAGAGCCTGATTGTGCCATCAAAATATTTAACTCTGGAACAACTGATTTAGTTACTATACATATAATGGTTTTTAGAGTTAAGCTTCGGTGTAAAAGTGCTGATTAGTTTCATCTGCTTTCCTCCAAATTATTGCAAGTACTGGTTACATAATCAGTTACAAGTTCGGATACGGCCGCCGTTTGCTGGTCGAGCTGCAAGCGAAAAGTAGCGACAAGGAACTCAGTTGTCAAACCAGACTGGTGTAAAGTCTGGTGTATCCGTGGTCTACGGCTTGCGGCTTTTTTGCGTGTCAATAAAAAGCTTAACTACGGCAGTCGAAAATGGAATTATGTCAGTAATAAAAATTACCAAGGCGCTTATGAAGGAAATAGTGGATTAGGAACTAAGTAGTTTAATGACAATGTTATTATTACATAGTATTTGCTATTAAACAGGCACTAGTGGCAATCACCGAGACAAGACTAACGTTTTCAGGAAACTTCATCAAAATTTGATGTAGTTGTTGTCTCTATAACGCCAAATTAACGTTTTATTGAAGTTGAGGTCCCCTCATTTTGAACGTGCACTATCAAGCTTAGGACGTCGCCGACAGGAATTAACTTTTTAATAACAACAAGCTAAATAGACACTGAAAGCAAGCCAAACGATGTTTCCGTCGGCAAAACTCCAAGGTTATTAGCTGTTATTACGTGGTTAACCGGCATACAGGAAAAAGTGGATTACACCAGTAAACTGAGGTTTCATTCCGGGGTTTCATCAGCGGACTGATTGTCAAAGAGAGGAAATAATATTAGTGTTAGTACTTTCCGAGATGCTGCTAACCCCGCGCACTAACACGCATACGGAAGCTTTTTTGGGTAGAATCATTAAATTGAATCTATCCAATCCGAAAGCACAGATAAACATACTTATCATTATAGTTTACAGTAGCTTGCGCAGTTAGGTGTAAGTTCTCTGACCTCGTTTAGCAAACATTGATTATAAATATCAACCATGGCTTATTAGGTGCCCAAGGAATTCAGTTGCACAAGCAAATGATAGAAGCATGTCGGGCGGCTGACGTGATTATATGGAGATATCCTATATGCGTCCCTTGACACACAAGTCAAATGATGATAAGTAACAAGTAAAATCTTCATTTAAGGACTGAGATGGCTCGAAATAGCAAAGCTAGTAAACTTGAGGCCCTCTAAAAAACAAATAATCACGGAGCGCGATTCCTGCCGATGTACCAAAGGGGTCCTAATTGAAGGGGGCTGGGTCCCAGTTAAAGATAAGCCGTTTTGATCGTTAACGGTTAAATTTTACGTCATTGATACAGTTTTGCCCATATTTGAATAATCCAATTAGTATAGGTAATCATACGGTTTCGAGTTCAATTTGGAATTAATTTGCACGAGTGAGTTTTTCAAAAAGCTGAAATTGCACGAGCCGCTTCGGCGAGTGTAATTTCAGCTTTTTGAAAAACTCACAAGTGCAAATTATCTCCAAATTGAACGAGAAAAACCGTATGATTACTTATTAATAATATAAACATGAAAAAATTCGCGCGGAGGAAGTGCCGGAAGATCTTTCTTGAAGC